GAAGCATCGATGTCCCCAATTTGGCTACCATCCTATTTATCTAGGAATCTATAAGTACCCTAAAATCAATTTTGTTTGCATATGCATTAAAGGATACACTCAACTATTATGACTTGTCTAAGCAAGTAATAGATAAATTTATCTCTACCATTTATATGCATTAGTGTTTGTCTCATCTTTCAATCAATCACTACTAAAAATGCATATATGTGCTGCCCCTTTGAAAATAGTGAAGGTATCCTAGATTGTTCCAATAGTTAGACCATTGATTTTTCAATCAACGTATATAAGTCTTAGTAATGTTTGGTATACAATCCAAATTTAAGGTCGAACTTTGGGTTTTTTAAAAACTTTTAGGGGTGTTTGATAAGGAGATCCATTATCACCTTTGTTATTTACGACCTAAAAATTCCAAGATTATCAATAGATGGAATCATATATTAAACCAAGTAGAATTGGTAAAAGCCCTTTTCCTCCCACTCGGTTAATAGAAATGGTTATCATGAGGGCTTCTATCTAATTCTACTAATAGGGGTCTCACATCTTTCGATCAATCACTATTCAAATGCATGTCATGAGGGCTTTTATCTAATTCTACTGATGAACACTATAACTTATATGGTGCCCTTAAGCTCTATGTAAGGGTAAACGTCCCTAAAATATCAATAATGAAAGGACAAGTGATTAAGGTAACCCTAGAGAGGTTATTAACTTTGACATCTTCAAGAATTGTTTAATGAATTGGCATGTGAATGAGAAGGAAAATACAAAATCCTTGATAAGTTAGAAATATTGCCAAATGATTTTAATCCATTTTTACCAATTGATCTTAATGAACAAAGCTCTTTCCACTTTACCTCTCTCTCCCTCTACCTCTCTCATCTCTTTCCCTTACCCTCCCTCGGTTTGATATCCTTTCTATTGTTAAATCTATGGTAAACACCTTGATTGATTGATTTGGGTGATGGGGTGAATATTCTAAAATCCTTGGTCCCACAATAGTTAACCTCATGTATTTTTAATGAATATCTAATATTGTCATGTCAACATGTGATCACTCATAAACTATCTTTGGTTTACCTTGAGGATAGGGAGTGATTATATATAGTAAGCAATATCAAGTCTATACTAATGGAGAAATTAATAGTACAATAAACTTTTTATCATATGAAAGTAACAAATTCTATTATTATCTAGATACAATCAATAAACAAGAAGGGTATAAACTTGTCTAGCCATCTGCATCATTATCATGGTAATATATAAGGTTATTATATGACCGGGCCTTTTGATAATGTAGGTTATAATCATCACATAGGAATAAAAGTTTAAACCACATAGTAATTCTCCCAAACACATACATTACCTTAAATGGGGATAGGTCATCCATAGTCACTCCTCACCATAAATAGTAAGAGTTCCTTTTGATACAATACCTTAAGAGGAAAATAACCCCTCCTCCTTGAATACCCCTTATAAATTTACCAATACCATCTTTATTAACATACTAGAGCTAATGTCTTGACTACCATTGAGTTGTTATATTTTAAATGGTTTATTGAGTGTAATTATTATTATTTATAGACTCTAATGATAATTATAAGGGATAATGAGGAGACCTAATTGTGGTCATAATATAATAACTCAATGGTAGTCAAGACATGATCATGAAAAAGGTTAAGCCTACACGTAAGCTTGTAGGAGCCTTTACCCTTATGAAATACCTTAATTATGAAAACACAAAGTATAAGTAGATCAAATAGAGTACCCCATGAATGTGTTTCTTGGGTAGAATACTCTATTATCGTGAAGTTTACATCGTTTAACTTTATGGGTCCCCTCCTATTACCTAATATCGGAGTGATCCACCCTCTTAAATATTATAATAATAAGTTGGCCACTATTAGATTACTTAATAATTAGCTTTCTTGATAATGGTAAATAAGCTATTATCTCCCCCATTAATCACCTTACCCAACAAGATGGGGGATTAATTCATCATGAGAGAGGGAGAGAGGGAGATTATCTATGGTGTTCATTGAAACGGGAGGCTTTAGTTCATATAAGGATGTACATTCATTAGCCTCTATTTACTCTTTAATTATAAACCTGATTTTTAGTCAACTTCAAACTTTATATCATTTTCTTGTGTCATGCACCATCTAGTTATTCATTATACCCCAATCACTTCATTGCGGTGGAGCATAATATTGACAATTATATAGAATTATCCCTCCCTCTCTCTCTCCCTATATTCTTCAGTAGAATAGTATAACACTACTAATCCATAGCCTATTACTCTATTAATAGGATAGGGATCATATTATTGCTCCAAATGCTTACAAGTCTTCTCTCCCATCAATATAGTCTAATTCCAAGTGTGTGTAGCTTCTTTCCCTACCTCTTCCATAATGGGTAATTTTCATTAGAAACTATGATTTGTGACTTTTTAATATCAATTTAGTACATTAGGAATTGGTAAAATCCCTTTTTCTCCCACTCGGTTAATATGATTAGGTTAAGTAAAAGAACAAGAGAGCCTAAGGACTAATGGAGAGAGAGCTTCGACTTGAACTAGGGGATACTCAAACCTCCCTATATAGAGATGATTAAATTGATGAGAGGGATAAATTGACCAATTCAATTTCAAACAATTGAATTAGGGAGGGAGAGGTTAACATAAACGATAAGTAGAGATGATGCAAAAGAAGAGGTGTTGGCTTGAATAGGAGTTGCAACTAATCAATTTGTTGTAGAAACCCTCTCGTTTAAATAATAACCTATTATTTAACCTAAATGACCATAGAAAGTGGAAAGATTGATTGCTTAAGGTTTATAATTATTATAAATTTTGTATAGCCTACAATATTAATATTACCATAATATTATAATAATATTTTATTTAACCTATATATGTTAAATAGATATTGATATATATCAAATTCTAGATTATATCAATGTAAATCCATAAACAAGCGAGGCTCTCCTCCAACAACATAAATAGGTACTAAAATTGCATCGGGATCTAAATATTCACGAGTGAATAGCCACCCTTGTTTCAACATCATTACGTCAAAATGGGATTCTTGGAAAGATAATTTTTAAATAAAACATATATTAGAAACAATTGTTTATAGACTGTTCTATATAATGTTGCTATCGAATACTTATTGTGTCCCTCCTATAAGATGGACCTATTGGGAGATTAATTCCCCATCTCTTGCCTATTATCATTGAGGGATAGGTAATATTACCATATTTAAGTAATAATATGCTAGATATTGACTATAACCAATATTAGAACTATATGATCATTTAAAGTAGAGAAATATTTTAAGTTAGGTAGTAAAAAATATTGGGATTATTCGTGGAATTTAGGGAGATATTAACTATTTTAATTTCCCACTAAAATTATGCTTAATGGCCAATAAAAGTAGAGAGGAGGGAATAAATTGCAATGACTAATTATGGAGGAATCAACATAATTACTTTTTAGGAAATTGACTAATATTTGGTAACTTAAGGGGTGAGAGGGAAGCCAAGTGTCTATATAGCATTCCCAAGATATATATCTTCTCTAGTATATGTAGACATGTCACTCCCTATGGGATAATATTATCCCCCTATCCCAAGAGGGCCTCCCTCAAAAGGAGGTTAACCAATATTAGGGTTACCCATTTGATGCATAATAGTTCTCATAAAAAATAAGATTGAAAGGCTAATATTATGGTAGAGAACTATCTATATAAGTCCCTAACTATGGGTAACCCTAATTTTAATCAAGTGGTATTATGATTGATTATCTCTCTCCAACTAGTAGAATTTTAAGCATTTTGTTAATGTATGGCTGGCCTATATAAAGAGAAAGTGAGGCCAACATATTAATTTTCTATATGAGAGTAATTAGACTAATATTTATAGTAATTAAATTGTCCATCAATTGATTAAAATTATGCAAATGCACCTCCCCTATATTATGTTGTAAGGAAATAATGTTTTTATATCATCGATGGGTAATAGACATTAGGAATAACTACATAAGATACGCAATAGCATACATTAAAAGTTATCTAAGGAAGCCTTTTACTGCATATGAATTTTAAGGTTTAATTCTTTAGGTTAAATACCCCTATTTGTCACACTATTTCCCATAATATTGTCATTGGAGAGGGTATGTGTACATAACATACAATGAGACATGGATGTGCCCAATCATTTATGTATAAACCCCTATTATATCTTACCACCTTTGTTCACTTGAATACTTACCACTTGATAGATTCGTTGCTTATGTCATGTTCTACTATACTAGATAGAGGGATATAGAGAGAGGGAACTGGTAGTGATATAGTTGATTTTACATTCGTTTCAAAGGGAGAGAATCCTTTAGCACCTTCGTTATGGAGATATAGAGCACTCTCTCTCCCTCTCGCCTCTCCCATTTTATCCTCCTTGATAGTCCATTGTAAAAATATGATTAGGCTATATGGTTATTTGAATAGGCATGATAAGGTGTTTTGGGGATAGAGAGGGGGCCTAACTCTTCTTGGACTATTGGATTGGCAATAATTCTAAAAGATGAGTACGCCGAGTTATGTACTACTTGAGTTATCTCCCACTCTCCATCTAATACTACTTGGTACTACTTGGTATATTTTACTATTGAACATGGGGTGGCGGCAACCATCATGATGGGTCCATATAACAAACAAATTAAAAGTTTGATACTCTTTTTATTAATTAACAAAACATCTATACATCACATTTATATTTCTATGGGTTCCCATTGTCATGAATCATAAAAAATTGGATTATTTAAAAGAGGGTTATGATCCACTAATTGATAGAGAGTGAGAGAGGAATATCTTCATAAATATCATCAATACTCTTCATGATCCATCGATAAGGTACCTTAGTCTAGGAACTTACCCACCAAGTACATAAGGACCTAACTTGAAAATCATGGTGAAACAATTAATATATTGGAGCATATGGAATAATCATGGATGAATAATTTGGACTATTGCTCGATTAGGGGACAATCTAGGGTGCCCTTGTTCTCCTTTGGGAGAGATAGTATATTCGAGATCAACCGGATGCATGCTAAACAATAATATAAATCCATTTACTCTATCTACTAAATCACTTATGGTGATTGAGAGGGACTTTAAGTCTATGTCGATGGTCTTTCACCATGATAATCTTTAAATATAGAAGGTGCATAATTATCTCATATGTTCCCTCACTCTTCCAATAATTATCAAAAGATTAGTTTGTATCTTTCCATCTCTCTCCTACTCTAGGCTTATGGGATGAATCTCCTATTGTAGCTCGTTTGGCATCGAAAAGCTGTTCCCTCTTTCCAACTCACCTTCTTTGATGGCCTTTGGATGCTAGATTGTGTTTTATAACTAGATTGGGGATAATATAATTATGTTATTTAAAGATTATCTTGCCAAGAATCCTATTTGATGGAACAACTTCATATTTGACCCTATGGGAGCCTATGTGCAATTCCTAAATATCATTTCGTTGAGAGATATGTTAGAATTAACAAAACATGAGTCTTAGACTATGTGGATTATCCATAGAGTTCTAATTGCATCCACTTAATTTGACACCTAAGTAACTTGGTTACCTTTGAGCATGGTACCCATAAATAATGTTGAAATGGACCTTTTTATATTATTAATATATATTATATATATTATAAGATATAATTATAAAATACTAAACAATATTATTCAATACCTCGACATATTTAAAAATTATTATTATTGATTATTTCCATATTATTCCATAAGTAATAGTCCAATATAGATAATATAGACTAATTAAGTGACCAATTTATGGTACTCTATTTGTAGGCTTTTTTTTTTTTCTAAGATATATTATTTTCAATAATATAGTCATAAGATATCTATTATGACCATCATGAGAGAATTAATGACACTCTTAATTGGAATAAGTAAAGATAACCCCCTCTCTCTACCTCCTATGATTTCAATCAAGAGATGGATAAAATTTATAGACAAGTGGACCTATTAACGACATGAGTTCCAAATGACGGGTCATTAATTCTAGATTATGATAATTGTTATCTATTTGTATGTAGGAAATGAAAACAATAGAGTTGTTCCAATCAATAGAATAGTTCCTACCCCTTTATGGAGGTGATAGAATAACGGCAAATTTTAAATTTTGAAGGATGGGGCTTATAACCCCCCTCCTTTATAAAGGCTAGTCTTAATATTATATGCCTCTAGTGATCTGTTTCTTGGTTGGAGAGGGGAAAAATCAATTACCCGAGTACATCCCTTCTATTGATGATCCCTTTCATTCAAAATTAGGAGAATAATACTTAACATCTCACTCGTAACAATATTATATAAATATTTATGGTAGTTAAACAACATAAATTAATACAATACAATATTACTATATCCTATAAAATATACTATGTAATATTTAAATATAGGGAGGGCCGAGAGGACGTCCTCACGACTAGTTTTACTCTCACCTTAGTGATTAATATCCTCGTTCGCTAGGGAGACTCCCATCTCTCTCTATTAATGGAAGAGATGACATGGGAATGATGAATCAAATACTATATGGTGAAGAGTATAATTATTCGGTATAAGGGAGGAATTAATACATTCTAAGTATATTTATGATCACCCTTATCCCTAAATGGTCCATTTTTTATATACCGTTCAAGCTATGGTTTACTATGTTTGTTCAATATCTCATCAATATCATCTTAATTATTTACTATTTTCCTATAATTGATTAGAAAGTCCCCCATACACTCTCGGATATAATATCCTATTAGAGGTCCCTCTGTATGAGGCATTTACAATGGTTAGATGGTAGAGAGAGAAAGAGGGGACCCCTCTTTTTCAACGCTTAGTAAAACTATAGAGAATAGAGATCACATTGAAGAGAGAGATTGTTCCCCTTTATTATTGTACTTAAATATTAATTATAGAGAATCTCTCCCTCTTTCGTTTTCCAAAGAGACCTATCTTTTACGATTGTCCAAAGTTAACATTGGTAATAACTTCCTTCCATAGGTTATGAGGGAGTTGATTTAATCATGATTGTTCAAACCTATTACCATGACAATAGAATGATAGTATTCACATACCTATTAAGACTATGGCGTAATAGACCATTATCCTTCTCCTTTGAATAAGTTAAATTTTTGTTCCAAACTTAAATTATGATCACATCTAATAGGAATAACCTATTGAGATTCACTCCGGGAGTAATTTGATACCTTTTAATTAGTTCGTGCCCCAATAAAGACCCCCAACTTAAGTGTGACTATGATAGTCAAGAGACTCTATTATATTGGAAGTGCCCCCAAAACTTACCCCTTCTCCTAGTTTACCTTTATGACTACCTATTTTATCCATGTCTATCAATCCTAGTAACTTTATAATGGATATATGTACATATCAAGGCACAATGGAGGAATAAGTTCGTGGGGCCACTTCCAACAATAATGTGGAGATAACACTATTTGATTATCAAAAAAAGGCTATAATTTGGAATACCAAATCACACTCGTTGGAGTAGTAAAGTGAAACTATTGTATTCCTTGATAATATATATACATATATCCATTATCTTAAGTACATATCCCAAAGACATGGAACAATCATATATTGTGTAACATCATAGGTGAATTAGGGGATAACTACATCCAAGACTCCAATGGCAAAGGGTTAACACATCACTCTTTCAATATATATATATATTATTGGTAGCCATGTTCTTCACTATTAGTCATTAATAATATAATCCACTGGTCAAAATTCGATAAGCCCTCGCTCATGATTATCTAAAGAGATGATGGAGTGATTACTCTATTATATTCAGTCCTATATAATCTATGTACTCACTAGAACAGATCCCCTCTTTCCTTTTCGGTAGGGCCAATGAATACTTTTCAATAGTTGGAAATATTAGTATATTAATATTGGGAGAGTGTATCCTCACTTATTTTAGTAAATAGATAATTAATTAAAAATGATTCAATGATATTTGATAGAATTAATGTCCCCCTTAGGAGAGACCTATATTGCAAAACGTGGTTTTATTTACTCGAATGGAGAGTTAATCAGCATCATTTTGATACTTTCCTATCATAAAAATATTGATTGGTATTATGGGCAAAACCCTTGGAGAAAGGGATAATTATAACATAATCCTTTGAGAATGGAATTGGCGGCTTATGATACCATGAGGAACACCTATCCCGGTATATTAATTGTACTTGAGCTAGACTCAATTATTTTATAATAATTCTATGAGAACCAAACCACGATAGGATTCCATCTAATTTTGTCACCTTTGGTTATTATTTATATTATAGGTGACTAGGTTAACATATCACTCTTTCAACCGTTAAGAAATATCATGATTATTGTAAAGGTAAAAGTAGTAAAATATGAGATGGAGATAGGGAGGATTCCATTTAGATCATACTTGTTTAAGCACATATTATATTTTGTAGCGGATATTGGTTCTCATTTCTCTTAGTTGTAGAATTCTTAATAGATATTTAGTAGAGACATAAATAGACCCTTTTAAATAATCACCTTGGTCTCATTCCCAAACTTAATAGCTATCATAAAGGGACACCATATGACCTTCCCTATCACATTAAAAGGAAAATAAAACTATAAGCATTGACTAAGATATATTTAATGACAATGGAAGATGATCTATAAAACTAGGTATATTTAGTGTGAACTTGTTATTAAGTTAACAATAGAAAAAGTCGAATGATCGGTGCATTAACAAATATGGGTAGTGAGTAGGAAAATACCTAGTTTATATGTCTTTGTACTCATGAAATATAGTTACGAAGAGTCTATTTGGATAGCCGGACAAAAGGAGAGATAGATGGAGAGGGAGAAATAGATAGAGAGATAAATTGTACTCTTATAGAATGGTGAGAGAGATTATATACTAATAGGGGGATAATCAATCTTATAAATCTCTTTTCCTAATATAATATGAGGATAATATACTATTCTTTTAGACACTATTTATTGCCCTAATTAGTAAAGTACATGCTCATAACATGGAGGACAAATTTACATTAGAAATATAACAAGTAGGTGCCCCTAAATAGAGATGGGTTTATTGAAATGGTATAACCCTTTCATATAGATATATAAACCAATATATTGAGAAGCCATGTTATAATTCGTGAATAGCGATGGGGAATAGCCAAATAATTGTATGATTGGCATGTTCCCTCACATGGTCCTTACAATTATTATTAGATGTGAACAAACTAGATATCAAGAATTCTCAATAATGATGCCCCGTAGTTTATATGTTACCTTTCATCTCTTCCTTAACATAATTGGCTTCTAATCACCTACATAGGTAATATATTTAGTCCATTTGTGTGATTAGAATTATGATTGTTGATAAGGAGTAGCTAATGGTTAAATTAGGTGGGATTCGAGGGAATGATGAGGACCAATAATCATGATTGTTCTCTCTTAATATTTAATATACCATAGAGACACGAGCATGTAATCCATCAAGAATGCCGGTATCTTTGTTTTTTGTAAACTCTTATCAATATTGCCAACTAATATGTAGACTAAAAAATGAGCTCCTAATATTATGATTCAATTATCTATTGCGGTCACATTCTCGTTTCTCTATGGTATATGATAATGGCCTTCTAATTATTGATACCTGGTTCCTAAATATACATTATTTGTTAATAATTCAATAGATATTGGCACATAACCTATCAAGCTATGATAGGGACTACGATAATATATTAGGTTAACAAATTATAGAACTTTGGCCAATTCACCGAGAGGGAGGGAGTATATTTAATAGAGAGAACCAATTAATGCCTAAATTCATTTACGATTGGAAACATATGGCCCTACCTTATAGGCAAACCAATCACTATATCTAATAAGTTATTCAATCTAAAATAGAGAGGGAAAAAGATACAATATTAACGGATGATCTAATGGCTGTATTACGTCTTTATACAATTCTCCTTCATGACAGGTAACTCTCTGTGTGCATGTCAACATGTGTTGATTCTTATGGCGAGGTAATGTGAATTCTCTCTATAATTCAATGTTTCCTATTTAAATAATATCAACTCACTTTTCCTTACTTTAAGCATACTATTTTCTCTCATTCAGCTTGTGTATCTCATCATGTTAAAATTTATGGGTGCCATGCTCTAAGGTAATCGAGGTTACAAAGTCAAGTGATTGTAGGCTTAAGTGAATGCATTATAGGAGTTAAAACAATTATTGTCCGATAGCATAATCTATTCTTGTTGGAACAAAATTCAAAATAGACCAAGCATTTTGATTGGAATCACTTAATGTTATCATAATAGGAAGGAATGTTTATAACAAAGAGATGACCTATCATTATTAGTAGATAATTTTTTAATATTCCTATTAACTATGGAGTTAATAGGTTAAGAATTCCTATATATATAGTGCACTTCTCCCTCGATTAGGACTAATGGCCCCGGATGAATCAAATACTCCACCTTGGTATTTATCATTATAGTCCATATTTATTCATGTCGGCAAGTTTAGATAATCATACCAATCCTCTATATTATAAGTCGGTTAGACATCAAGTTAATGCAAATATGCATCAATATAATTAACTCCCGAGGAGATATCCTATTTCAAGAGAGCTAATCAATTAAATACCAACTATGATAATTATTTCATCACACCAAATTATTCTCCTATACAATACTTCCTCAAAAAGGGAACAATTATGTTATTTTTTCTCCCTCATACCGAACATAAATTAATATATTACCACAACATTGAGCCTTACCTCCATTCAACTATCAAACACTATGTGGTAATCCTTTAGTAATTCCCTTTACCACTTGATATAGTATCTAATATTCTATTTGATTCCTATATCGACCATAAGCCCTAATCTTTCCATATAATACTGCCTCGACATCACTACTCTCCCTCTCCCTCACTCTCACTCTATCTCTAGGCTTACTCTCTATCTTTCTTTTCTACTAAGAATTTAGATGGAACAAGTTCTCACCATGAGTATGTATGGGTGAGGGAGGGAGGGAGGAAGGGAGAGAGAGGGAGAGATGGAAATATATATCTAATTATATTGTTGGATAACTTGTAGTACACTAATAGATATACTATTAAGCTAATATGAATGACACATATTAGTTATGATGTATAATTGAGAGGACCTATTATCGGAGGAATTGACGAGTTCTAAGTTGATGTAAATATCCTATAAAGGTGACAAAATAAGACTGCTTGATGTTGGCAATTATTCTCCTGTCGTACTACTATATAGCCATTATAATGAACCTACATCATCCTCAAGAGCCTAACCTTTGATAAGTCAGACCAAAAACCAAGTTAATTCTCCTACATGACTTTGAATGAATCCATAAACCAAGGTTATACAATATTTTTGTCAAGTAGCTCATATATTAATGATCATATAGCTAATATACCACATGATAATTTACTATTAAAGCTTCTCAACATTAGTCCATCTACAAAGACATTAGTCCATCTACAAAGTCATGCGTTGGTAAATTAACTTGGTTTTTTTGTTTGAATTGTCAAAGGTTAGGCCCTTGAGGATGATGTACGTTACAACAACTATAAGTAAGAGGGCATAATATTTTCGGCATGGACTAAAGGAGAGAGGGAGAGATGAGGTAGAGTAAAAATGGTGCTACTACCCTCATTCCAATTATGAAGCCAACTATTGACTACTAGATAGTATCAAGGGATAATCCTTCCCTACGAGTTAAATTAAAGGGATTATAATATGATAATCCCAATTGGTTAGTCCATCTCTATCACTCTTAAAAACTCTAATCAATCCCGGATAACCTAGATCATTGTACAAATAATCCTAGGTAATGTTTAATGTATCAATGTTCTAGGGCTATTAGTCAAACTCTCCTATATTTCTTAATTATAACATGATAAGGGCACCATATTGGTGCCTATTCATTGTCAAACTCTATATTATCGACATAAGACAATCACCAATAGTAGATCATTATGGAAGAAAGGTTAAACCTAATATATTTAGGATATATGCTTCTAATTAAGGTAGTATATAATTATTTGATGAAAGATGGGGATAAGATATCCCCGATAAACAATATGGAGGTGTACCTTATGCCTATGAGCATGTTTCAATATATGAATCAATTTTTATTAACTATGCTTCTTGTTAGGGCTCTTGA